TTTTAAGCTACACATAGAATTCTATAATGAAATGAAACTGTTCACCATATGTCAAAGCATGGGTTATGAAATTGTTTTGTTCAGTGTGATCTCAGCTAGGGAGAAAGCAGGCAGAGGGAAAAGACAAAGAGACATCTAAAAATGTGACTGGGATGGGGCACCTGGGTGGCTCAGTCACTTAAGCAACTGGCTCTTGATTTCCACTGGGGTTGTGATCTCAGGGTTGTGGGATCAAGCCCCACATTGAGCTCAGCACTCAGTGGGGAGTCTCCTTGGGACTCTCTCCCTCTGCCCTTCCCTCAACCCCACGCACACACTCTCACGCTCTCTCTCTCTCTCTCAAAATAAATAAATCTTTTTTTAAAAATGTGACTATGGAATCACAGGGGATTTCTTCTTACTTAGTTTTGCTTAGTTATTTTCTAAATTTCTTCATATTGTTGCTTTTTAAATGATGAATCACAATGAAAGCTTTTGTTTTGTTTTTAAAGATTATTTATTTGAGAGAGAGAGAGAGTGTGAGGAGGGAGAGGGAGAGAATCTCAAGCAGACTCTATGCTGAGCACAGAGTGTGACACAGGGCTCGATCCCATGACCCAGAGATCATGACCTGAACCAAAACCAAGAGTTGGATGCTCAATCCACTGAGCCACCCAGTCGCCCCTGTTTTGTTTTAAGAAAAAAGGGCCAAAGGCCTATTACTTGCTTACATTTGCAGAAGACCCTATACAAATTGTTCATGGCTAAATCTCTGGTTCCTGGACAGTGCTTAGCTCATAGTACGCATTCAGTAATTATTTACAGAATACATGAATGAGTAAATGAATTAATGAATGAACAAAGAGTGTTAACTGAGCAGGTGGAAGAGATAAAGCAGAACTCTTGGTCTCTGGTTTTTATCTGTCCCTTCTCTGCCCATTACAGTCTAGAAAGGGCATAATTTCCATAGATGAGAAGCCCAAGATGGGTAGTTAGATTGCATGACATTTCATTCCTTGGCTTGCATGAATTCCTTTCTAGCAGCTGAGACAACATACAGTAGAGACTGATAACCTTTGTGGATTCTTGGGAGGCAGGGAGTTTGTAAAATATTAAAGACCAGCAAATGCAACCAACTTTCCCAAAAGGAAGGGGAAAGATGGATGAACTTGAGAGTAATCAGCTACTTCTGTATTGGGCAAGATTCTATACCTATGCAATTCTTGGTAAGAAACCCTTTGTTGGCACTTAAAAAAGGAAATGCTCACTGCAAGTCAGCATGGATGCAGCTAGGGCAAATCCAGCTGAACCTACCCCACTTCCTTCTCTGGTAGCAATGAACATCTGAGGAAGGGTTGGCTGAAAAGAGCTGTAGACAAAGGCTCTGATTTTCAGCATTCAGCAAAAGTGCCCTGGGAATGGCTGAGAAAACAGTAAAATTCAGGAAACTAACATACAGTCTATCGTGGGCCCCACCATTGTTGTACGTTGCCGTGTGTAAAACAAAAACAACTTTACCAAAAAGATAAAAACCTTGGAGCCTTAATCCTTCCCAAGTCCCCCTCCCCCAGTCCAGCCCTGCTCCTTTGGGGTTTTTTGTTTCTTGTTTTTTAAGATTTTATTTATTTATTTTGACAGAGACACAGCGAGAGAGGGAACACAAGCAGGGGGTGGGAGATGGAGAAGCAGGCTTCCCCCCGAGCAGGGAGCCTGATGCGGGGCTCGATCCCAGGACCCTGGGATCATGACCTGAGCCGAAGGCCGACGCTTAACGACTGAGCCACCCAGGCGCCCCTAGCCCTGCTCCTTTGAATAGGGGAAGCAGTCAAGCAGGACTGAAGGTCCAGAGGAGGAGTGCACATTGCTTACCAAAGCACAAAAGGCAAATGACTCAGTGTCACCAGGAACTTAGTTTCAGAAGTCCAGGAATTGGCACAGAGACCCAAGAAATTGTACGAATCAGCTTCTTCCATCCTCCTGCCCATGTGTATCCCCAACATCCCTCCCCCATCTGATGTTGTGCTAACTAAGGGAACAAGCTCCTATTCTTTCCATTAGAACAGGGGTTTAAATTTTTTTTTTTAGGAGGGAAACACTTTCTTTGCAAACAAACTTACCTGGAACCCCCTTATATAAAACTGATAAAAAATACAGATGCTTAAATCAAAACCACAATGAGATACCACCCCACATCCATTAGTATGGCTACAGCCAAAAAAAAAAAAAAAAAAAACAGAAAGTAACAAATGTTGGCAAAGATATAAAGAAATTGGAAGTCTTGTGTATTGTTGTTGAGAATATAAAATGGTACAAAGGCTGTGGAAAACAGTATGATGGTTCCTCAAAAAATTAAAAATTGATTTACTGTATGATCCAGCAACTCCACTTCTGGGTATATACCCCAAAGAATTGAAAACAGGGTCTCAAAGAGACATGTGTATACCCCTGCCCACAGCAACATTATTCACAATAGCTAAAACATAGAAGCAGCCCAAGTGTCCATCAACAGATGAATGGATAAGCAAAATGTGGTATATCCATATAATGGAATATTATTTGGCCTTAGAAGGAAATTATGGCATATGCTACAAAATGGGTGATCCTTGAGGACATGCTAGGTGAAATAAGCCAGTCACCAAAAATAACTACTGTATGATTCCACTAATATATGAGGTACCTAGAGTAGTCAAATTCAGAGAGACAAAGTAGAGAGCCAATAGCCAGTGGTCGGGGAGGAGGGGAGGGGAGTTATTGTTTGATGGGCGCAGAGTTCCAGTTTTGCAAGACAAAAAAAGTTCTGTGCTTGGATGGTAGTAATGATTGCACAATATGTGGATGTAACTAATACGACTGAACTGCACACTTAAAAATGTTTACAAAGGGGCACCTGGGTGGCTCAGTCGTTAAGCGTCTGCCTTCGGCTCAGGTCATGATCCCAGGGTCCTGGGATCGAGCCCCGCATCGAGCCCCGCATCAGGCTCCCTGCTCAGCGGAAAGCTTGCTGCTTCTTCTCCCACTCCCCCTGCTTGTGTTCCCTCTCCCGCTGTGTCTCTCTCTGTCAAATAAATAAATAAAATCTTAAAAAAACAAAAATGTTTACAAGGGCGCTTTTCCCATCTTGCAAGATGGCGGGCGAAAAAGCTGAGAAGCCGGATACTAAGGAGAAGAAACCTGAAGCTGAGAAGGCTGATGCCGGTGGCAAGGCTAAGAAGGGTGACCCCAAGGCTAAAACGCCAAAGAAGGGGAAGCCCCACTGCAGCCGAAACCCTGTACTTGTCAGAGGAATTGGCAGATATTCCCGATCGGCTATGTATTCCAGAAAGGCCATGTACAAGAGGAAGTAGGTATTCGGCAGCTAAATCCAGGGTTGAAAAGAAAAAGAAGGAGAAAGTTCTTGCTCCGGTCACAAAACCAGTTGGTGGTGACAAGAACGGTGGTACCCGAGTGGTTAAACTTCGCAAAAAGCCCAGGTATTACCCTACTGAAGATGTGCCTCGAAAGCTGTTGAGCTACAGCAAAAACCCTTTCAGTCAGCACGTGAGAAAGCTGCGAGCTAGTATCACTCCCGGGACCATTTCGATCATCCTCACTGGGCGCCACAGAGGCAAGAGGGTAGTTTTCCTGAAGCAACTGAGCAGTGGCTTGCTACTTGTGACCGGACCTCTGTCCCTCAATCGAGTCCCTCTGCGTAGAACACACCAGAAATTTGTCATTGCTACTTCTACCAAAATTGATATCAGCAGTGTGAAAATCCCCAAACATCTCACTGATGCTTACTTCAAGAAGAAGCAGCTGCGCAAGCCCAGACACCAGGAGGGTGAGATCTTCGACACCGAGAAAGAGAAATACGAGATTACAGAGCAGCGCAAGGTTGATCAGAAAGCTGTGGACTCGCAAATTCTGCCAAAGATCAAAGCTGTTCCTCAGCTTCAGGGCTACCTCCGCTCTGTGTTTTCTCTCACAAATGGAGTTTACCTTCACAAATTGGTGTTCTAAATGTCTTACAAAGAACGTAATTAAATAACTGATCCATTTCAAAAAAAAAATGTTTACAAGGGCAAATGTTATGTTACATATATTTTACCACAATAAAAAAAAATTGGAAAAAAAAAACCCACAGGTGCTTAATCTGATTTTGGTGGGAGTAGAGGTGGGGGACAGCCACATCTGTCTGACCTCTCAGTAGGGTGACCAACTCATCCCTGTGTTAACACTGAAGGTCCCACATCCCAGGACTACCCCTCGTCCCAGGCAAACCAGGATGGTTGGCCACCCTATCTCCTAGTCCCAGACGGACCACTGTGGTGTTCCTGTGCAGGGCCCCTGCAGGACAAACTCAAGGGTGTCAAGATACAATTGTATTCTATGGGATACATTGCCCTGTCCCCAGCTCACCCAGCTTGAGCCAGAAGGAACTTATCCCTCAGCCTCAGTCCTGGAGGCAGCCCTGGCTGAGCAGAGATCCCTGTATACCTTCCTTGGTTGCTAAGGATCCGCTCAAGCTCCCTGTGCTGGGCAGAGGGCAGGGCCTCCAGCTCACCCTAGGTGAGGCGTTTCAGTCCAATCCTGGCTGGTGAGGCCCAGCCACCCCAGAATCCCCTCCAAATCCAGCACCCCACTCCCAGTCCCCATCAGGCTTGAGTCCAGGCCTGGTGCTGGAGGTAGACAGAGCACAGGGCCCCCACATCCTCATCCTGGTGGGTCCTAGAATCCCGAGCCTGAGACAGTTGCCTGGGCCTTTGGACTCATGGTCCACATGGGCTCACCCCCAAGGAGGCTTCACCAGGCTCCCTGGGGGGGAACAGAAAAGGAGGGCAATTTCTCCCCCAAAGCCCTTCGCCTCTGGCCTTCCCCTACCACCACCCTCAAGATGCAAGCCAAATGTGAATTCTGGGATCATTCTCTGTCTTCTACATCTCTTTGAATAAATTGACTCAGTTCTCATATTTTAGATATGTCACCAGTCACAGTTCCAAAGAAACAACACTCCCATGCAATCTTAGATTTTTCTATCTCGTGACTTCCTCACCAGCAACCTCTTATAAAGGAAGGTCAGAGCCCAGATTTCAAAGAGTCAGGGAACCCAGAAGTCTTCAGCCCCATCCTGCTCCTGCAGCTGGTCAGCCGCCAGAAGGATGAAGGTGATCCTGGCTACCCTGGCCTTCCTCCTCATTCTTGCTGTCCTCTACACTGAGGCCAATGAAGGTGAGGCCTGTTACTCTTATTCTTCTGAACAGAGATGGTACAGTGGCTGGAAGCAGGGGGCTGCAGGGAGATGGGGGTGGTCCAGAATAGGCTGCAAAACAGACAGCGTCTTTACCAAGGGTCTCTCCCCGTTCCTGGTTGGGACTCATTTCTGCCTCCTTTGGGGAGAGAAAATCCTGCCTCTGAATGCAGCCTCCCTGGCCCTGGGGTACCTAGCAGAGAGAAGCTGACCCAGCACCCTCCGGGCTCCTTGCTTAGCGCCCTCTTGCAGACATACAGGAGCCCCCGCATAGGCATGGGCTGGGACAGAGGAATCTGCAAAGGCTTAGACTGTCTTCGTGGCTTAGATGGGGTTTTACATGTTGATTGGTTGCCAACATTTAAAAATCTGTATTTCTTGCTTCTTTTGCAACTATGGAAGACCAAGCAGACAGGAGCCTGAGTTCCCACAAGCTTTCACTGGGACTGAAGTGGTGGGGGCCGTCCCTTTAGACAGGGGGTGCGCTCCCAGGTCTCAGGGCCCCCCACTGCCAGGACCACATGCACCCTGTCTGCCTGTCTGCCTGGCTTGTGGGGGCATTGAGCCTGAGATCCCAACAGCAGCCTTGCCCCTCTCCCTTTAAGGTTTGTCTAGTATGTCCATGGCACACCGCTGCTCCTGGCACGTAGTAAGCTCCTAATAAATATCTGCGGGATACTCCAACAGCAGGTGACTGAGAAAGGCAGGGCTAGACCCCAGCTGTCCTGACCCCCAGCTCACTGCCCTTTCCGCCCTAAACAGGCATGGTTGCCTCTCTGCAGGGGGCAGGAACCAGGGGAGAAGGTGGCACAGTGGGACCCTGGGGCGGCAGCGGGGGCCGGAGGGAGATTTCCCAGGAAACTATTCTCTGGAGCTGAATTTCAACCAAAATCAGAGACAGAAATACACTCAATCCTAGCACTCTGATCCGGCATCCCTGCTAGTCCAAGGAATGATGGCCAGTTTTCCAGGAACTGTGACAGCACCTAGCTATAGAGCTCCCTCCCTAATGCTTCCCCGTGATTCCCGTGATCATCATGGGGCTTCTCATCTGCAGATGGGGGAAGGGATACTTTCTCAAAAGGCTGGCGTGAGGAATGGAGATCAGCCATGTCAGGAACTAAGCCACACACCAGGCCTATGGTAGAGACTCAGTCAATGGAAGCTTTTTTTTTCTTCTTCAGAGAACAGCAACCCAGAATGGACAAATAACTGGCTTTACAGTCAGGGAGACATAGATTCAAGTTGAATTCATTCATTCATTCATTCAACAAATATATATTAAAAGCCTACTCCTGCCACCCTTTCAGTAAACACGCTGGGCTACAGTGAGGGACAAAGGCAGACACTGTCTCTACTCCTAGCGAGCCTCATTCTAGAAGCTCTGCACTGGTCAGCTTGTGGACCTTCCTTGTCTCTTTCAGGCCTCCTGAGCCTCAGGTTCTCCGTCTGTTACACAGGGGTAAGGAGGCCCTGACTTCAACAGTCATCAGTATATAAATCAATACACAGTCCTTGCCCCATGTCCTTTTTTTAAGGAGACAGGTTTGGAAAGGGTGGGTGTCCTGTCCGGAGTCACATAGCTTTCAGGAACAGAGACAAGGACAAGTGTAGCTTTCCTGCTTTGTAGCCAAGGCTCTGCTCATTATAACATCGCAAACCTCCCCCTTCTATCATTTTCTCGAGACCCGTGAAGGAGGACCCTCTCCTATAGAGGGGGCCAGTCCTGCCCTGCTGTAGCCCACCCTGGACATCCCCTAGCAAGTCCATACGGCAATTCCTTCTCAGTATGTCAGGAAACTATGTTTTTCCAAATCCCAAGTCCTAAGAAAACTCAGTTGAGAAACTGGGAATATGTGGAAAATTCTTGCAAGAATTAAAGCTTAACAATCCATATGGAGGTGTTACTGATTTAAAGGAATCCACTGACATGTAGAGCAAAAGCAGGAAACACGTGACACGTGGGATGTAACGTTAAGATCAGCATTTCGGGAAACCGGGACAGGAGCACGCAGGGGGGATGTGACCAGGACCTGACAGCTTGGAGCTGTAGCCATGTCACAAGTATGAGTCCATGGCCCTGTCTGCTGCTGAGTGTTTACCTTGTACACTTAGCACAAATCATGTAAGTGGTGTTCCGAGGAACAAGTTTTAAAAGCAAAATACGTCCTTCAATGGGCCATTTCAACTGTGATTCCTGCTAGGAGATGTGAATATTCTGTTATTCCCCGAGGGAAGGGTCAGAGAGAAGTCAGGAGGGGCCAGCCGTGGGCAGGGAAGAGAGGTTTTAGAGGAGGATAATTTTTTTTAAGTCATCTCTACACCCAACGTGGGGCTCAAACTCACGACCCTGAGATCAAGAGTCACATGCCCTACTGGCCGAGCCAACCAGGGGCCTCTAGACAAGGACAATTTAAGAAGGAGAGGAGGACGAGCTGCAAGAGGCCAGGCCTTACTCCCTCCGAGGTGCTCTGGTCTGGTCTCCTCCTCTGATGCTCTGGGCGATAGAGATACAGGTCTACGCTCCCTTGTGGAAAAGCTTTCATCATCACATGGCCCTTTACCTTGCAGAACCAGTTAATAAATTAACCCCTGGTCCGTGCTGTTTTGCCTACATCTCACGGAGGGTCCCACTCCGGTTTGTGGAAGGTTATGATAGGACCAGTGACCAGTGCCCCACCCCAGGGGTCATGTAAGTTCGGCCATGCTGGGGGCGGAAGGGGGTGTAAATATGAGAACCAGGAGGGCCTGGGAGAAGGAAGCAGAGGGGTGGGACTAGCTAGGAAGTGGGGGGAGCACAGGAAGAACCAGCTGAGCAGCACCCTGGGGACTTCCCAGCCTGAGCTTGGCCTCCAGGGAGGTAATGGGAGCTGGTGGTAGGGTCTTCACGGACTCCTTGGGGAGCAACAGAGAGTAGAGTGTCCTTCTCTGTGTGAAGGGGCCACGTCCAGCAGAGAGAGAGGTGGGGAAGCTCAAGCTGGGTAGAGAAGGAGCTGGGCTCCTCTCTGCCTGCTGACTCAATTTCCCCTCTTTCTCCTCCTTGTTCCACAGCTTCCTTACCCGACAGGGCCGACAGATCTGCGCCAACCCCAGTGTTGCCTGGGTGCAGGAGTACATCAGACACCTAGACCACGTGTCTAAGTGATCTGGGAGCACCGGGGCCCGTATGGCCGAGGGACTTTGAGGAGACGCCACGGAGCCCCCTTCCCTCCCCAACTCTCTCAGCCCCAGAAGGTCCCTGGGAGTTGGTCCTGGCCCAAACTGAAACTCTTTCTTGCTTTTCTGTGCTCCCATTCTCTGATGAATCTTGCTCTTTCCTGAAGCTTTGCTTTGACACTGTCCTCTGGGACCTGAGGACACTGTGGCCCCCAGACAGCATCTGTCTCCCCTTTGCAGGCAGCCAGTTGTTGAAATAAAGCCATGCCCCAGAAAGGAACCTGGGTGGTTTGAACTGGTTCTCTCACAGACAGCTGGTTATGTCTTTTCTTTTATAGACACTTCTACGGTATTAACTATGTATCAGGTGCTGTTCTAGACTCTTCCATATGAACTAATTTACATAGTGGGATGATGGGGGCAGAGTTAGAATCAGGAGTACCGAACACAAGTGACCCCTCTTTCGGGGCCTTATATCAGGGGAACAGCGTGAAAATCCAGACAAACTGTTCGTTTGCATGGAAAGTAGCCAGCTGAGGTGCACACCTAACACATCTCATCATTCCCATCATCCATACTGGGGGCTGCAGCCCCCCCCTTCCCTGGAAGCTCTTCCCTGCACCTCTGCCATTTAAACATTTACTTCTCTGACCACCCCTCAAGACCTAGTGTAAGTAACAACTCGTTCTCTGTGCCCAAAGCCAAGCACCCCAAACTCAGATCCTGCCTGCAGTCTCTTCAGTTGCTCCCTTGGCCCTCATCCCTGAAGCCTGGTGTGGAAGTGACTTGGGACATCTGACCTTGCCCCCACCACCACCCCAATTAAAGACAGAGCCAGGTACAAGGCAGTTCTCCGTGGGGTACCAGGAGGAAAAGGGAGGTAGGTGGGAGGTACTCAGCTCTGCTCTGGGGAATGCTGAAGCTGACGCCAGCCTGGCCATGCTTCACCGGACACAGACCAGAGAAGGGCCTTAGGGACGCTGGCGTTGTTCAACCCATGCCCCCAGACTCAGGTCTTGGAGAAGACACACTACAGCTTTCTGCCTCAGTCCTAACTCCTGCGGAAGAAGGATCCTGTTTGACACCATAGGTCAGAGATCTCTGCACATCCGTGAGTTTAGTGGTGGGGTGAGGGGGGCCATCTACTGTCCAGGACAAGGTTAGGAAACTAACAGTCTATCTTAGGTGTCCTCACATTCCCCCACTGAGGCCCATTTCCTCACTTTCCTGCTCCTCACTCTTCCAAATTCCAGCCCTTAGAGCCATAATGCACCTGGGCTTACTCTCACTCAAATCCCATCTGGAAACCAGTTCTCCGCACTCCATTCACACTAAAATATGGTTGAAGTCTTGAGGGAGCCCAAATCCCAAAGCCAAAGCGACAAGAATCACTGAGGAGGTGGGAGGGCCTAGGGTTTCTGGGAAGGATGGGAAGGAGTGCAGGGGTAAGTAGAATCTCCACTCTCCAAGTTACTCATGGTCCTACAGGTAAGCACAGCCATCTGGCCCCCAGCAAAGTGAACCTGTCTGCCTATAGGAGGGAGGGAAGGAGCTTAGGGAGGCACCCACTATGTGTCAAGAATTGTGCAAAGTGCTGTACGTACACAACATCTTTTAACCATTTTCACTTCCCTGTGGTGTCCAGCTCATTACTCCTGTTTTACTATAAAGTCCATTTCGGGCACAGTCCTCCTAACCCTTCCTGATCCATCCCTCTCGCTAGGTGACCTCAGCCAGACTCATAGCTTCCATATTCCTGTATATACTGACAAGTTCCAAATTTATACTTCTCCAGCCCAGGCGCCTCCACTTAGGTGTCTAAGAGCTTCTCAAAATTAGCTGGTCCAAACTGAACTCCTGAATGTCCCCAAATCTGCTCCTCCTTTGTCTTTCCGTCTCAGTAAACAGTAGCAACATCCTCCAACTGTTCTGAACAAAATCCTGTAGCCATCCATGATTCCACTCCTTCTTTCCCCCCATCACCTATCTTACACCCAAAACCTGAGCACTCACTGCCGCCTCTGCTGTCACTCCACCACCCACCGTCTCCATATTTTAGTGTGAATGGAGTGCGGAGAACTGGTTTCCAGATGGGATTTGAGTGAGAGTAAGCCCAGGTGCATTATGGCTGTAAGGGCTGGAATTTGGAAGGATGACCAAAGTAACCTCGTAGGAGTCTCCACACTTGTAATCTCAACAGAACAGCCAATGATCCTTTCAAACATAAGTCAGATCATTCCATTCTCCTGCTCAAACTGCCCCCCCAGTGATTTCCTATCTCAGAGTCAAAGTCAAGTGAGCATAGCTGCCTTCCAAAGACCTTACAATACCTACAAAATCCTGCATGATTTGCCCACCAGCCCCACACCACCTGACCTCTTCTCCTACTTTCTCCCTAGCTTCCTCCACTCCACTTCAATGCCTTCCGTGTGGTTCCCCAAACACACCAGGCAGGATCCAGCCCCAGGGTTTTGTGCCTGTTCCTTTGCTGGAATCTTCCTCCTCCATCTCTGGTCAGCTTCCTTTAGGTCATGCTCAAATGCCACCTTATCAGGAAAGCCTTCCTTGAACATCCTGTAATATGTAGCATTTCTACACACACACACACACACACACACACACACACACAATTCCTTAACCTCCTTCCCCACTTGTTGCCATTACATCCAAAGTACTTGCCAGCTTGTGTTATACTATATATTACTTATTTATGTCTGTCTCCTTGTAATTAGAATGTAAACTTCATGAGGGCAGAGATTAATATTTATTCACTGCTCTACCCTCAGTGCCTAGAGAGGACCTGGTACAGAGTAGGCACTATTGGATGGATGGATGGATGGATGGATGGATGGATGGATGGATGGATGGATAGATGGATGGATGGATGGATGGATGGATGGATGGATGGATGGATGGATGGAGTCACTTAGGCTCAGAAACAAGCCTAAAGAGGGGAAGGCCTCCAGGAGAGAATTTTTGGAACAACTCCATCTTGAAGAGCACTTCTTCCCAGTGGGGGGATAACCACTAATGACCTTCACAGAGAGGTTCTGGAAAGTAGAGCACAATGGCACTTCATTCTTGCTGCCATTCTTCTTTGTTATTTGGGATGCTTGTCCCTGTGGGGAGCTGAGATGGATACTGAGTGTCCTGGGAATGTGGAACTGTAATTGCCATGGGCTATACTCCTTCCTCAAGTTTCTCTCCTCAGGAAATAGAATCTCCACTCTCCAAGCTACTCAAGCTGAAAACAGGAAGTCATTCTTAAAACCCCTCACCCTCATTACACCCCCCTCCATCCAATCTATCAACAAATCCCTTCACTCTGCCAAAATCTCTCTCAAATCCACCTATGTTGGCTCTTTCACCACCACCACAATCCAATCCCTCATCCACATGACCTCATGATGTGTCTCAGAAGCAGATGAGGGTTTGGCAGGTATACAGAATCCAATCAGGCATCTGAGAACGGTGCCTAGTCAGGAAGATCATGAAAATTCAGAATTCAATTATACAGAAAGAAGTGGCTGAAGAAAGTCAGTGATAACCTTAGCAGGCAGTACAAAATTCCATCCACACAGATCACAGAAAAGAATTACGAAAGATCTAAAGGACTGATGGACAGGCATTGGAGCATCTTCAACGCCAAAGAGGATGGTAATACATGTCCTAAAGAACGAAAGAAATGACAAAATCCAGCCTAGCCATGAGGAATGTTTGCTACACCCTCCGTAGAGGTGCTGGCTTCTGTCTATACAAGTAACACAGAAGAATCATTTGAGGGTATAATTAGAACCTAGAAGCCACCAACCCATTTTAAAGGAAGTGAACTCCAAGCCTCCTGTTGTCATCTCGACTGAAAATAGAGCTCCACGTACCCAGTCATGGTGGAATAGAATCACCCCTGAGGTGTGCAGACCCGGTCTCAAGTCTCTTTTGGCCAATAAGCAACCCCCCACTGCTGGGATGGTGATCGGGTGAAGACCACAAATAACTGGCCTAGTAATCTCAATGTGTTTAAGATAATAATACCGTACCCTAATGGGTAAGCCGCAGAACAGTTATAATTAAACATAGATGGGTGCCTGGGTGGCTCAGTCGTTAAGCGTCTGCCTTCGGCTCAGGTCATGATCCCAGGGTCCTGGGATCGCGTCCCGCATCAGGCTCTCTGCTCGGCGGGGAGTCTGCTTCTCCCTCTACCACTCCCCCTGCTTGTGTTCCCTCTCTCGCTGGGTCTTTCTCTGTCAAATAAATAAACAAAATCTTTTTTAAAAAAGGTAGATAGATAGATAGATAGATAGAGATAAAAATCAAAGGAACTTCAAATGGCTTCCTACACAGAACTTCAGCTGCAGATGTGAACAAACTCACACCAACAGAAGTTGTCCTCCTCTCTCGCCCTGATGACCACAATCGGCTCCTCTTGGGCTCTCCACTTCCATCCTTCGCCCACCCCTCTCCATTCTCCACTGCAGCCACCTGAAAACCCTCCAAGAGCTTCCCATGATAACTGGAATAAAATCCAAAATCCTTACCCTCCCTGCCAGACGTCCCCATACTAGGGCCCCTGCGTTTCTCCGGAGGCTCATCCTGTCCCACTTGTCCCAGTGTGCCCCAGCCACATTGACTTTCTTTTGTTACCTCAAATGCTCTATCCTCATTTTTGCCTCATTTTGCTTTTACATGTGTTACTCCCTCCCTAGGCTTTCCATTTCACCCACCCTTAGCTCGCCAACTCCCGCCCATCCCATCCTTTAGGTCTCAGTTAACCGGTCCTTCCTTAGGGCGGACTTGGATTAACCCGGAGTGTAAGTTTGGTCTCCAGTCATACTGTTTCATAAAATCCTATAACTCATCCTTCATAGCTCTTATACTTTTTAATTACATACTTATTATACATGATTATTTCTTTAATGCTTTTCTCCCTCACAAGACTGTCAGTTCCATGAGGCCAAGTAGCACTGGATGGGTGAATTAGGAGTGGCAAACCCTTTGCTGATGGCCTACAAAGCATCTCTCCACCCTCACCTTTACTCTAAAACATGAGCTGGATTCTACCAGGATTCTAGGTTAGGGGTCAGCGGTCAAATCCAGCCTGCTGCCTGTTTTTGCAAATTAAGTTTTACTGGAACACAGCCTTGCCCATCTATTTACATATTGCTTGTGGCTGCTTTGGTTGTACAAGTCCAGAGCTGGACAGATGTGACAGGCTTCGTGGGGCCCACAAAACTTAAAATTTTTACTTTCTAGGATAAGATGATACGTATGCCAGGATGCAGATGTCCCTGGACAACTGGTATCTAAGCCCC